GATGACCAGAGACTGCGGACATAGTACAGGGGATGACCAGAGACTGCGGACACAGTACAGGGGATGACCAGAGACTGCGGACATAGTACAGGGGATGACCAGAGACTGCGGACATAGTACAGGGGATGACCAGAGACTGCGGACACAGTACATGACCAGAGACTGCGGACATAGTACAGGGGATGACCAGAGATGCGGACATAGTACAGGGGATGACCAGAGACTGCGGACACAGTACAGGGGATGACCAGAGACTGCGGACATAGTACAGGGGATGACCAGAGACTGCGGACACAGTACAGGGGATGACCAGAGACTGCGGACACGGTACAGGGGATGACCAGAGACTGCGGACACGGTACAGGGGATGACCAGAGATTTGCGGACACAGTACAGGGGATGACCAGAGACTGCGGACACGGTACAGGGGATGACCAGAGACTGCGGACACAGTACAGGAATGACCAGAGACTGCGGACACAGTACAGGAGATGACCAGAGACTGCGGACACAGTACAGGGGATGACCAGAGACTGCGGACACAGTACAGGGGATGATCAGAGACTGCGGACATAGTACAGGAGATGACCAGAGACTGCGGACACAGTACAGGAGATGACCAGAGACTGCAGACATAGTACAGGGGATGACCAGAGACTGCAGACATAGTACAGGAGATGACCAGAAACTGTAGACAGTGCAGGGGATGACCAGAGACTGCTGACCTTTGGGGAGGGAGGCTGAATTTGTCAGGTACCCGCTCCCACTTCCGCGGAGTTGTCCTTCCTTCCTTCTTCCTGTGCCGGCTTCTGTTGACAGCCGGGTGCCCACTTTAAATGTGCGAGAAGCGCTGCGCTTTGTGAATGGCCCGGCGCCTTCTGGGACCTGTCATGTGTCCCAGAAGACACCGGATCATTCACAAAGCGCAGCGCTTCTCGCACATTCGCAGTAAGTTTTACCCGGCTGTCACAGAAGCCGGGCGCGGGAAGACTGTGCAGCGCTGGAGCGAGGAACAGGTAAGGCCCTGCAGGAGAGAACAGCTGAGCGGCCGGTCCGGTATTCTGACATGGTGGCCGCAAAAATACCGGACCGGCCGCTTTATATTCGCTCCATAAGACGCACTGACATTTTCCCCCCCCTTTTTTGGGGGGAAAAAAGTGCGTCTTATGGAGCAAAAAATACGGTATATATATATATATATATATATATATATATATTTAAATATATATATAAATTTATAAAAATTTTTTTTTTTTTTTATTTGTCTAAATTAATTAATTAGTTAATTCATTTATACACATATATATATATATATATATATACACACACACTATTTATAATTATAAAAATAAATAAAAAACAATACAATTAATCAATAACTCAATAAATGATTCATTGAACTAAATTGATCAATAAACCTAATAAAATAAATAAATAAATAAAAAAAAAATATATATATATATGTAGATATATATATATATATATCTATATATATATCTATATATAAATATATATATATATATTATATATATATCTATATATATATATCTTCTTTAAAATAAAATGATTAATAAACAATTCATAAATAAACTATAGAGAGAGAGAGAATTATTATTTAAATTAAAAAAAGAAAGATATAGATATATATATATATATAGATATATATCTATTCAGTCGTATCCAACCCTTGGCGATTACACGGACCGTCACTCGTAAGCGGCTTTTTCCATGAATTCTAGCAATTATTTTACAGGGTAGGTTGCCAGGTCTTTCCCCAACCCCCACATATACAGTCAGGTCCATAAATATTGGGACATGGACACAACTCTAACATTTTTGGCTCTATACACCACCACAATGGATTTGAAATGAAACGAACAAGATGTGCTTTACATGCAGACTGTCAGCTTTAATTTGAGGGTATTTACATCCAAATCAGGTGAACGGTGTAGGAATGACAACAGTTTGCATATGTGCCTCCCACTTGTTAAGGGACCAAAAGTAATGGGACAGAATAATATTCATAAATCAAACTTTCACTTTTTAATACTCGGTTACAAATCCTTTGCAGTCAATGACAGCCTGAAGTGTGGAACGCATAGACATCCCCAGACGCTGGGTGTCATCCCTGGTGATGCTCTGCCAGGCCTTTACTGCAACTGTCTTCAGTTCCTGCTTGTTCTTGGGGCATTTTCCCTTCAGTTTTGTCTTCAGCAAGTGAAATGCTCAATCAGATTCAGGTCAGGTGATGGATTTGGACTTGGCCACTTCTTTGGTTGCTTTTGCAGTCTGCTTTGGGTCATTGTCCATCTGCACTGTGAAGCGTCCAATGAGTTGTGAAGCATTTGGCTGAATATGAGCCGATAATATTCCCGAAACACTTCACAATTCATCCGGCTGCTTCTGTCAGCAGTCACATCATCAATAAATACAAGAGAAGCAGTTCCATTGGCAGCCATACATGCCCACGCCATGACACTACCACCACCATGATCACTGATGAGGTGGTATGCTGAGGACCATGAGCAGTTCCTTCTCCATCCTCTTCTCTTCCCATCACTCTGGTACAAGTTGATGTTGGTCTCATCTGTCCATAGGATGTTGTTCCAGAACTGTGAAGGCTTTTTTACATGTCGTTTGGCAAACTCTAATCTGGCCTTCCTGTGTTTGAGGCTCACCAATGGTTTCCATCTTGTGGTGAACCCTCTGTATTCACTCTGGTGAAGTCTTCTCTTGATTGGTGACTTTGACACACATACACCTACCTCCTGGAGAGTGTTCTTGATCTGGCCAACTGTTGTGAAGGGTGTTTTCTTCACCAGGGAAAGAATTCTTCGCTCATCCACCACAGTTGTTTTCCGTGGTCTTCCGGGTCTTTTGGTGTTGCTGAGCTCACCGGTGCGTTCCTTCTTTTTGAGAATGTTCCAAACAGTTGTTTTGGCCACGCCTAATGTTTTTTGCTATCTCTCTGATGGGTTTGTTTTGTTTTTTCAGCCTAATGATGGCTTCACTGGTAGTGACAACTCTTTGGATCTCATCTTGAGAGTTGACAGCAACAGATTCCAAATGCAAATAGCACACTTGAAATGAACTCTGGACCTTTTATCTGCTCATTGTAATTGGGATAATGAGGGAATAACACACACCTGGCCATGGAACAGCTGAGAAGCCAATTGTCCCATTACTTTTGGTCCCTTAACAAGTGGGAGGTACATATGCAAACTGTTGTAATTCCTACACCGTTCACCTGATTTGGATGTAAATACCCTCAAATTAAAGCTGACAGTCTGCAGTTAAAGCACATCTTGTTCATTTCATTTCAAATCCATTGTGGTGGTGTATAGAGCCAACAATGTTAGAATTGTGTCGATGTCCCAATATTTATGGACCTGACTGTATATATATATTAATATTATATATTATTATTATGTATAAATTAAAAATAATAATAATAATAATATATATATAATCAATTTATTTTGTTTATTAATCATTTTATTTTAAAGAATTATTTATTGAGTTATTGATTAATTGTATTGTTTATTTATATTTTATTTTAATTACTATCAATAATATTTATTTATTGAAATTGGTTAATGATAATATGAATATATCCCATGCAGAGTGACAATCTGTGGGGCGTATAATCGGCTCCTATGTGCCAAGCACATAAAGCAAAGGCCAATTGCGGACTTCAGAGGCACTGCGACAAAAATATTGCCTCTAAAGTCCGCAATTGGCCTTTGCTTTATGTGCTTGAATTATTATTTTTAAATTGGTTAATGGATTTTTTAAATTATATTATAAATAATATTTATTTAAATTAACTAATGTATCTTTAATATTTTTATACACGGCTCACAAAATTAGGGACGCTTTTTAATTCGAGTCTGGCATCAAGTCGTTGAACCTCCCGGGATATTGATCTGGTCAGGTAAGTCGCAGAGGGGGTTGTTCATTAGTTTCAACTGCTTTGGTGTTAATGAAATTACCAACAGGTGCACTCGATGGGCAACAATGAGACGACCCCCAAAACAGGAATGGTTTTACAGGTGACATTTTTTTCCCTACTCATCTTTTCTGGCTGTTTTTTTCACTGGTTTTGCATTTGGCTAGGGTCAGTGTCACTACTGGTAGCATGAGGCCATACCTGGACCCTACAGAGGTTGCACAGGCAGTCCAACTCCTCCAGGATGGCACATCAATACGTACCATTACCAGAAGGTTTGCTGTGTCTCCCAGCACAGTCTCAAGAGCATGGAGGAGATTCCAGGAGACGAGAGCACGGAGGAGATTCCAGGAGACAAGAGCATGGAGGAGATTCCATGAGACAAGAGCACGGAGGAGATTCCGGGAGACGAGAGCATGGAGGAGATTCCGGGAGACGAGAGCACGGAGGAGATTCCAGGAGATGAGAGCACGGAGGAGATTCCGGGAGACGAGAGCACGGAGGAGATTCCGGGAGACAAGAGCACGGAGGAGATTCCAGGAGACGAGAGCACGGAGGAGATTCCAGGAGACAGAGCACGGAGGAGATTCCAGGAGACAAGAGCACGGAGGAGATTCCGGAAGACGAGAGCACAGGAGAGATTCCAGGAGACGAGAGCACGGAGGAGATTCCAGGAGACGAGAGCACGGAGGAGATTCCAGGAGACGAGAGCATGGAGGAGATTCCAGGGAGACATGGAGGAGTTCCAGGATCTACGAGAGCACGGAGGAGATTCCAGGAGACAGGAGAGGAGATTCCAGGAGACAGGCAGTTCCTCTAGGAGGGCTGGACAGGGCCGTAGAAGGTCCTTAACCCATCAGCAGGACCGATATCTGCTCCTTTGTGCAAGGAGGAACAGGAGGAGCCCTGCCAGAGCCCTACAAAATGACCTCCAGCAGGCCCCTGGTCTGACCAATCAGAAACAGACTTCATGAGGGTGGCCTGAGGGCCCGACGTCCTCTAGTGGGCCCTGTGCTCACTGCCTGGCACCATAGAGCTGGATTGGACTTGGCCATTGAACCCCAGAATTGGCAGGTCCACCACCGGCGCCCTGTGCTTCTCACAGATGAGAGCAGGTTCCCCCTGAGCACATGTGACAGACGTGAAAGGGTCTGGAGAAGCCATGGAGAACGTTCTGCTGCCTGTAACATGGTTCAGTATGACCGTTGTGGTGGTGGGTCAGTGATGGTCTGGGGAGGCATATCCACGGAGGGACACAGAGACCTCTACAGGATAGACAATGGCATCCTGACTACCATTGGGTATCGGGATGAAATCCTTGGACCCATTGTCAGATCCTACACTGGTGCAGGGGGTCCTGGGTTCCTCCTGGTGCAGTGGGTCCCGGGTTCCTCCTGGTGCAGTGGGTCCCGGGTTTCTCCTGGTGCTCCCGGGTGTGCGGTGGGTCCCGGGTTTCTCCTGGTGCGGTGGGTCCCGGGTTTCCTCCTGGTGCGGTGGGTCCCGGGTTCTTCCTGGCGCGGTGGGTCCCGGGTTCCCCCTGGCGCGGTGGGTCCCGGGTTTCTCCTGGTGCGGTGGGTCCCGGGTTTCTCCTGGTGCGGTGGGTCCCGGGTTCTTCCTGGCGCGGTGGGTCCCGGGTTCCCCCTGGCGCGGTGGGTCCCGGGTTCCCCCTGGCGCGGTGGGTCCCGG